TATATATATATATATATATATATATATATATATTTAGTAATTTTGTCATGTGGTTTTGTTATTTTTATTAGTTCTTTTTTTATGTTAGTGTTTAGGTTTCATTTTGTTTTTTTTTTGTTTTTTTGTTTTTTTTAATTAATTTCCAGTTAGTAATTTTAGTGATTCAATTTTTTTTAAATATCACTATTTAGGTTTAATAAATTTTTATTTCAGTTTTAGTTTTAGCTTTTGTTTATTACCAGTTAGTAATTTTAGTGCTTCAACTAGGGTTGCGCAGAGAATCCTAATCCATCCATGGAAAACTAGGCATGGGGTTTCAATCAGAATCAGAAACTCTCGAACCACCTTGTTTTAGAGACCAAACTTCAAAAGCAACCACCTGACCTGTGACCCAAAAACAAATAAGGATAAGTGAGTTATTGCAAGTCCTGTGTTAAATGTGAGCCGTATTTCAACAGTAGGACTGCGACGTCTTTAAGGTCCTTTAGATGCAGCAACATGGGAAAAAGCATTTCAAGCAAATTGCTCAGAAACAGTTTAGTTAACAAGGATGTTCAAAGTTAGTGATGACTTCATGGTCAGACTCTCTAGAGGGCATTTTCCAAAATAGCTGACTAACTTGACAAAACAGCCCACATGTTGAACAATGACCCATTTTTATGATGTCTGCACATCACTGTGGTTACCTTTGTGTAATTTGGTGGGACTCACAGGTATGTGTGTGTGTAGCACCCAAGAGAATGTTCTCTGTCATTACCGCAGCATAATTACCCAAAAGCCCCCATCCTTCACCATAAAGACATGTTCAGCAGGTACTTCACTAAAACACCAGGAACACACCCGGCGATTCTCTCAATTACACGTGCACACGCACGTGCAATTATTTAAGTCTGCAATTATTTACAGCCCCAAGCTGCAGTACACCGTTTACCTGAAGATAATGAGCTGTAGTCACTATCTTTAGCCTTACTTAAATCCACAATAAACCCAAAAAACACTGTTCGCGTCACACTCACAAGCTCTGTTCACAATGAAATGCTACTGCTTACTAAATACTGTCCAGTATGTGCTTTTTACTGCCTACTAATTTAAATTAGCATGAAACAGGGTCAAATAGTAGTATGCTAATGTTGTCACTACTGTATGTTACGGTGTTATTTTAGTATTATTTATATATTATAGTTTTTATTATAGTAATTTTGTCATGTGGTTTTGTTATTTTTATTAGTTCTTTTTTTATGTTAGTGTTTAGGTTTCATTTTGTTTTTTTTTTGTTTTTTTGTTTTTTTTAATTAATTTCCAGTTAGTAATTTTAGTGATTCAATTTTTTTTAAATATCACTATTTAGGTTTAATAAATTTTTATTTCAGTTTTAGTTTTAGCTTTTGTTTATTACCAGTTAGTAATTTTAGTGCTTCAACTAGGGTTGCAAAAGGTGGAAAATTTCCAGTAAATTTCGGAAATATTCCAGAAATTTTGGAAACTTTCCAGGATTTTTTGGAATATTCCAGGGATTTTTGGAAAGTTTCCGGAAATTTACCAGAAATTTTCCACCCCTTTGCAACCCTAGCTTCAACTTACACTTATTTCAGTTAGTTGCCAAGGCAATGTTTCTTATTTTAATTTAGTTTGTCATCATTTCGTTATTTTATTTCTACTTCATTTCAGTTAATAAATATATTTGTAATAGTTTTAGTTAACAATAGTAACCCTGATGTGTTGCATGTTTACGAATTACTTTGCATGTTTAATCTAAAATTATCTTTAGATTATTCAAATAAGTATTAATATTTTATTTTATTTCCACTTTATTTCAGTTAATAGAAAGGCATTTAATTGTTTTAGTTTTAGTTAATGACAGTAACCCTGGTATATTGCATGAGCAATTTAGTGAGAGGTGTCCGGTTATGAGTTACTTTGCATTTTTAATTCAAAAGTATCTTAAAATTTGTCAATTAAGTAATAGGTCAAGAAAAAAAATTATAAATAGTGCTGCTTGTATTATTTCGTATTCATTCAGCACACTGTAAATGGAAGCAGCATTGCTTTGTTGGATGCAGTAGCAAATGTAGTTGTTCATTTGGGTCAAACTGTGCACAAAGTACTACAGCAATATTAAACAGTGTAGTATGGTAGTATGGAGTTTTGAGCACCGTTTGAAAGCACTGTTGCATGATGGGAGTATCTGGATGTTCATTCAGGACTCAGGTGGGTTGGTGGGGGGCTGTGGTGTACATGTATGTGGGTGAGAAAGCCCCATCCCCCTCCTCCATCAACAGAGCCATAGTTCTAGAGCTCAGAGATTCTTAACATAAACTCACAGCAGCTCACACACTCATCTTCTTTGAGAGCCGCCCGCGCTCAATGAAGGCTTTCATCCTGTGCCGCGTGGCACTGCGCTGGGGGTGGAGGACAGAGAAGCCAACTGATCCTCTGTTTCTACAACTATGCTGATATATATGATACCACTTGAGCCATAGAGCTGGGAGAAATTCCCGGGAAAACTGTGATATTTTTGGCCATTTGATGATATTTGATATGTAAAGTATGTTTATGCTCTGAAATGCAAGGGTGTTTTTTGAAACTTTTTTTGTACCAAACTACATTGTTCCCAAGTAGATTGAAATGTTTCATTTTTATAGCTAAAATACTGACAAATGAAAAATGTTGCATGAAACAGCATTCACAGCTTGTTTTACTTTTGTTATGTGGTGTACGTCATTTCAGAAACAAGTATTTTGACAGAATATATTCTGATGAAATACTATAATTTATAGTAATATTTTTTTTACTAATATATTTTATGTATGTTTATTTGTTTTATAGATAATGTATATTAATAAGAAATATTTATTATTATTAATATGCATTTATAAAATATGTGACCCTGGAGCACAAAACCAGTCTTATGTAGCACGGGTTTATTTGTAGCAATAGCCAAAAAAACATTGTATGGGTCAAAATGATCGATTTTTCTTTTATGCCAAAAATCATTAGGATATTAAGTAAAGATCATGTTCCATGAAGATATTTTGTAAATTTCCTACCGTAAATATATTAAAATTTATTTTTGATTAGTGATATGCATTGCTAAGGACTTAATTTGGACAACTTTAAAGGCAATTAAAATAAAAGATTTTTTGGACCCTCAGATTCCAGATTTTCAAATAGTTGTATCTCGGCCAAATTTCGGAAAATTGACCCTTATGACTGGTTTTGTGGTCCAGGGTCACATATTTGATTTATTTTAGAAATGTTTATATTAATAAATAAAATATTAATCATTTTCTAAATATAAAATATTTTGCAAATATTTGTATAAATAATTTATATGAATACTTCTTAATTGTATAAATATTTATTTTATAAATAATTTATATTAATATGTAATATGAAAATGTAAATAAAAATTCTGTGAATATTTTATAAACAAATTAATTTATTTTATAAATGTTTATATTAATAAATAAAATAATAATCATTTTCTAAATATAAAATATTTTTAGAAATAATTTATATTAATACATCTTAATTTTATAAATATTTATTTTATAGATAATTTATATCAATATGTAATATGAAAATATAAATAAAAATATTTATAAAACATTCTGTGAATATTTTATAAACAAATGATATTAATAAGTAAATATTACTTATTTTATAAATAAAACTATTTGTAAAATGTTTTGTGAATATTTCATAAAGTATATTAATAAATAAAATATTACTTAGTTTATATTATTAAATCTAAATATAAACTATTTTGTGAATTTTGATTTCATAATTTATAATAATAAAATAATTGTTATTTTAGAAATATAAAGTATTTGACAAAATATTTTACAAACAAATGAATCATTGCATCTGTGTTTTGTACTGATTTGCTGAAACAGACTTTTTGAAAGATTAGAGATTCTAATAAAAAAATATTTCTTATGTTCTTGTCTTGCTCACAGTGCTCAGAATGGGGGCACAAAATCTGCCAAAATCTGAGCACTGTAGGATTGTAGGATTGGTACATACCTTCAAAGCTACAGAAAAGGACCACAGAAAAAGGAAATTCCCTCGAATGACTTCCTGTTTCCTCTTTGCTGTGTTTAGTTTTTAAACAGAGTCTTGCAGCACTATAAGCAGTGAGTGTGTGTTTGATTCATAAGAGCACTCTTGTGTTTCATAGGGAATCCCGGGACCTCCAGGGAAACCAGGGCAGCCAGGGCTGAGAGGACCTCGGGTGAGTGTGCGTGTGTGTGTGTGTTAGACTAATAGAGCCATTGACCTTTAACCTCAGATATAAACAGGAAGTGTGTAAAATGCAGTGCCTTATAAAATCTCTCCCACACTGTTCACTTCAGTGTATATGTGCTTTATTGGTTCTTTTTAGCGTGTGTGTCTGTGTTTTGTCTGGTCAGCAGGTCGAACTGACCTCAGAACAATACACAAACTGCCCCTCCGGATCTGTCTGTCTCATTCACTTTCACACACATTCTTTTGCCCTTTCTCATTTGTGTTGATCTGTTTTGTCATTTTTGAGTATTTAATGAAATTATCAATGGAGCTACAATATCATGACTACAATTGCACATAGTTTTAAAGTATTAAGAATTGCAGTAATAATAATAATAACAGTAATGATTATTATGATAATAATAATATTATTAATAATTATTCAGCATCAATTAATATATTAATAAATGAAATATTCATTATTTTATTAATATAAATATTTATCATATATTTTGTAAATTGTTTTTAAAAATAATTTATAAAAAACATGTTAATTTTATACATAATTTATATTAATTTGTGGAATATTACTTATTTTATGAATATAAATATTTATCACATATTTTGGGAATATGAATAAATAATTTATGTTAATGTAACCCCTGGACAGGATTTGTAATATAAAATAAAAAAATGTAAATAAAAAAAAACTACAAAAAAACTTTTTTTTTACCAAACAATTTACCAAAATAAAAAAATACAAAAAAATGTACATTATATTCCATATAACAATCTAGAGCAGTGATCACAATTGATTTGTCTTAAGCATATTTTAAGTAAAAAAAGTCAACAAAAAAAAAATACACAACTAAATGTTTTGCATCCTCTAAGGTGAGCAGGTACTAAATTCCATTTTTCTGCTGTATTTTAAGTATTTTAGAGAATTTTTGGGTGGTCTTTTCCTTTGACTTAAGAGTCCTTGTGAGGAATCTTCTAGCACAATCAAACAGAGAGCCATAGAGCCATGACACTTTGTTTGAACTTTGACCTTTGTTGACTGGACGGCAACTGCAGTCCTCATGTAGTGTGCATGTGTCAAAGGTCCACCGTGAGGTCACGCTGTTGTGTGTGTGTGTGTTAAGAGCATGTGTTATAAGGTCTGACTGCTAGGCTTTGTTCAGCCGGCACCCTTTTCATGTTAAATGTGTATGTTATTTGTGTGTGTGTGTTTGCTTGTTAGAACAAAGATGACTTTCAGTAAAGTCAGCCTACGCTATTTGCGCTTTCTTTGCACTCTCCTCAATCTTTGCTTTTTCCTAGTAACCAGCTAAAGAATCCTCTTATTATCACCAAGGCTGCATTTATTTGATCAAAAACCAGTAAAAACAGTAATATTGTGAAATATTAGTACAATAACTGTTTTCTGCTTGAATATATTTTAAAATGTAATTTATTTCTGTGATGCTAAGCTGAATTTTCAGCATCATTACTCCAGTCTTCAGTGTCACATGATCTTCAGAAATCATTCTCATATGCTGATTTGCTGCTCGAGAAACATTTCTTATTATTATCAATTTTGAAAACATTTGTGCTACTTCATATTTTTGTGGAAACATGATACATTTTTTCCCAGGATTCTTTGATAAATAGAAAGTTTTTATCTTAAAAAAAATCTTACTGACCCCAAACTTATAATCAGTCCATATTCACTCCTTATATATGAATAAATAGTAAAACAAAACGTGTAAAAAAGCCCCATTTTTTAGTGTTTATTGATACAGACAGTTTGGTTAAAATAATTTGTGAAAGTGAATCCCATTTTATTGCATATCTGCGTGCAAATCAGAGACTTGGCTCTTTTTATTCTCGTGTGTTTAATTTTGTATTAGCAACAAAATATTCAATATAATCAATATATTCAATATAACAGCCCTAATACAAAAACACACACACACACTATTGTTTTTACACACGTGCATTGCTTTTGTTTTGTTTTCATGCATGGTATTACTCGATCTGTTGGGCTTATTTATGTTATTTCCAATAACACCCATTGACCTTGACCCTCACTGTGACCTCTGACCTCAGGTGGGAAGTCGTTTAAAAAAAGAACAAGGTCAGGGTCGCATAAAAGGTCAAAGTCAAATGGAGCTAAGAATTGACTTCTTTTGTTTCAGATCCATTCACTGTAAACTGAAAACACATAATGCCCGAAGCATACTCAAGTATGCAAGCATATGAACGCAAAAGCATCAAGCGAGACAAGATTAATTCCATGCATCATAGAATTAATTCATAATGAAGTTGCATTCTCAGCATGGCCACAAGGGGCGTATAAGCTGTTTCTGCAGTCAGTAGGTGAACTATTAAATGCATTCTGTTTTTCTTAATCGTTCATTCCTAATGTGTGTATTGTTTGTATGTCGTTATCTGTAGGGCCCCCCAGGACCACACGGCAAGCCAGGTCGACCCGGTCCAACAGGGTTGAAGGTAAAAACCAACTCACCCACACTTACGGTCAGATAATCCGCAGTCTGATCTCGTGTACTGCTCTGCTCTTCTTCCTGTGTTTGGCCCTCTGTTATATTCATCACCGCACCGCCTGCCGGTACTATTGGGCTGCCAACAAAACCCTGCAGACAAGGTTTCGGAAACACAGGCACACACATACACACACACAAACCCTTTGATTTATTTGAGCTCACGAGAAGCCCAGCAGGTAGTGGAAAGTCTTTCCCATGATACAGAAACAAGTGTTTGTGTGGTGAAGTATAGCTGTAGTATTAAACACGGGTTATAAACCAAAACCACTAAACATGCTTCCAAGTTAGGTGTGCGTGTGATGTCCCACCGTGTGTGATTGGTCCGCCTCTTTCATCCCTGTAAACGATACAAAGGTGGTAAACAGCCGAGCAGCCCAGCGGGGAGTGTGTTTGTGTGATTGCATGGTCTCTGCTTTCTGTGTTTAATTATTTCAAGTGGCCTTTGAAGACAAACCTGGTTAAGATGCAACGGCCTGGAGTCAAACGTCCCATGTGTTCTCGCTCTCTCTTTCTGTCTGCGACACACACATGTACATGCACACACAAATTCGTAATTACGGTAAGATATAAAGCTTAAAACGGATGAAATAACATTCTTGCTTTGATCTGATTAGCATCTTTAAACAACTGGGCTTTGTAAGATGAAACGGTGAAAAAGTTTCACATTTTCTTCAGACGATTTAAACTCCGTCTCTTCTTTCTCTCAGGGGAAGAAAGGAGACCCTGGACTGTCTCCTGGAAAAGCACCAAAAGGAGAAAAAGTGAGAAAACATACACTTGTTCCGATTCATGTACTTTAGTGTTAGCAACAGCCAAAACACTGTTCTTGATCAGAACATGCAAACATGCGAAAAGTTACAGCAGCAACATCTGCTCTCTATGGGTTCCTGTGGCAGTGCTGGACTGATTGTGCCTCATGTTTACTGTTCGTGTTCGTAGGGAGACGTTGGTCTGTCTGGTCCTGTTGGTTTAGTCGCGCCGGAAGGCCGGAAGGTAAGATATTCTGAAACGCTTGAATCATTCTCTCCATTGTTTCATTATTTCTCAACACTAATGTTGCTGTACACTTGCTCGGAGACATGAGCACAGATGTTTGCCGTTTTGCATACCAGACCCACGCAAACACTCTGAATGCTCCCACTGGTTCTGCCTCACTGTGTCTCCCGTTGCTGTGGAAACCCAGTGTAAACATCAGAGGGAATCCCCAATGAGTCATCTATCACTCCTTTATACTCCGTGCACTCACACGTCAAACAAGGCTATTGAGAGTCGTACAGTCGTTCACCATGAGTAACTCTCTTTGTTACGACCATTAGTGTGTCGCGTCTCAGCTGTGCATGATTATAGTAAGTTTAGACCCTCTGCCAGGCGCTTTAGTGTAAGCAGTAATACTCATAGCTTCGTGTGTGTGTTTGTGTTGGAAGGATCTAGCAGAGGGATCTCTGGAAAAATCCTGTAGCCGATTCCTGTACCCTTTTAAACGATGGTTGTAAACATGCATATGTTATGTCTAGAGCAGCAAAAACGAATTAAAACAACCAAAGTTAATTATAAAAGAAGTTGACAATGAACTTTATCAACTCTTTATGCACTTCATGCATATAGTCAGTTTAGACCCAATGCAAGGTACTTTTTTAAATATTAAAATATAATTTTTTATTTTTTATCATTCTTTCTTTATCCAATTAGTTGATTTATCACAGAATTAATTGACATTAACTGATTACTGAAATGAGTTGTAGTAGCATGTCAGTACATGTGGTTCAGTGTGTGTGCACGTGTGTTCGTGAATACCTGGCAGGCTGCGCGGCGGTCCATGTGCTTTGTGTTACATGTCTGTGGTTAGAAAAAGAGCCATTAGAATATAGAGAAGAACCTCTGGAAAAACGGACAGCAGCGTGTCATGAACGAGTGAATGAAGGGATGAATGCGGGTATGACGGAACCAATAATAAACCAAAGCAGCCTGTGATTCTGCAGAGGGGCCAGACAAATTAAGCAGCTGATCTAGTACAACCTTTAACACAGATTCTACTGTAAACATTAAAAGATGTTCTAGAGCTAGACAGTGCATAAACAACACAACTTCTTAGAAAGTTATAAGGGATTACAAGATTTTTCATATCAGTTTAATGTTTTTTTTTTTGAGATAAAATTATTCTGACATAAAAGGATCCTTTTTAGAATTCTAACAAAATAAGATTTTTGTTTGTTAAAAGTGCACTGTATATGTACTGTAACTGTTTAAATAGTTGCAAACATACAACAAAGATCAGTGGTACATGTGTGTGGCTGTTCGCTGGAATGTGGAGGTAGAGGCAGGAATCAGAGCTGGGTTTCCCACAAACAAACGTAATGGAAGAACCAGACATCTCTCAGACGCAGAGTGTGACAGGATGGATTTCACTGGTTTGGCAGAGAAGAATGTGTGTGTGTGTGTGTGTGTTGTAGTTTTATGTTCTTGTGTACATTTCTCTTGAGAATGATGGTACTTCACGCTACTATCTTTCTGTCAGTCTATCTATCTATCTATCTATCTATCTATCTATCTATCTATCTGTCTGTCTGTCTGTCTGTCTGTCTGTCTGTCTTAGTTGCCTGTCTATCTATCCTGTCTGTCTGTATATCTATCCATCTGTCTGTCTGTCCTGTCTGTTTGTCCGCCTATCTGTCTGTCTATCTATCTTTCTGCCTGTCTATCTATCTGTCTGTCTGTCTGTCTGTCTGTCTTTTTCTACCTGTCTGTCTATTTAGCAGCTCAAGTTCAGTTCATGTTCTCACTGCTGTAAGACACGACATTCAGAAGTGCGGTTCACATGCAACATGGAAAATATTCTCATAGTTTATCCATTTTGTCTTGTCTGTCTACTGGCGCACTCGTAAGGTCAATAAACAAAAATCGGCACACTGCCATTACTGCTCTAAAAAATGTATTAAAATCACAACGTTTCTACCCTGACTAGGACCCTACTACCCTAAGGTCTCACTCGTAAGGTCTCACACTTTATATAGTCCTCCCTAGGGGTGTGCGATATTGACAGAAAATAATATCTCGATATTTTCTGGAA